AACTTCTACGAACGTCTGCGTACATTAACTTTTTCCAACGTAATATCACAATCAAATTTGAGAATTTTGACAATTTCTTTAAGATTCCAGAAGATAAACGATTCAATTTGACTGGAGATGAAAAAAACTTCCTTTTCTGTTTATAATGGATAATTTTTTCGCTTAAGTGGATAAATTCCACTTTCTGATATAATTATGCGGATTCCAAAAAGCTAGCCATATAGAGTGCCATTTTTGAAATACTTATTATCATTCTGTCTGTTGCGTTTCTCAATAACGCAAAAGGTAGATGTAAAGTACACAAAAGACTATATTTCTATATGACTTACATTTAATAAGACCTTCTTTGTCTTAAATTCGCGTAAGTATATTCGATATTTGTTTTGTTGCAGGGACAAAATGCGCATCATTTATGCATTCAAACAAACACTTCTGATACTGCATTTTATGCAACAAATCTTCACTGGATAGCAAAACATAATTTTTAAAATACAAATCTACAACATTAATGCAAACAAATGTGATTCCTTTAACTTTGCTTCACTTAAATTTGAACAATTTTCAACAACGTTTTCCGGTTCAGAAAGAGATATCTTTTTATACCTATTGAACTTATTTTGGAGGTCCTTCTTAGTGTTATCAAAATTAGCGTTCAGTATAGTTCTCTTTCGTAACAGCATAGGAACTTCCTTCGATATGAGACTACTGCCAATTTTCCCAAAATTTATGGCCATTTCTCTTAATAAACCTAAATAAAATGACGATTTACCTAACTAAAGGGCTTTCGCAGAATCAAATAAACTGAATGAATCAAAACAGTTTTACTAAATATACGCTAGGTACCAGGTCAAATTTCATTATAAACATTACATAGTTCTTGGTGACTTCTGTACTGAAGAGGCTTGCCACCAGCGTAGACCGAGGCTCTACAAAAGCTGAAGGACTAACGCTTGAGGCACGCTATTCAGATGCTAATATTGCCAACAGGCACCCAACTCTGGCCGAGACCTACACTAGCATGTGTTTATGTATAAGATCATTAATCAGATGCTAAACCTGTCCAATCCACGACCTTCAATGTCCTAAGCCATAATGTGCATAAATAATCATTAGCCGTTATCTTTGCGTGTTTGTGCGGCATATTCGGCATTATAATTTGTATGCACCTAATGGCGCATGTTTATGCTGAAATTAATCTTTGAGGCAAGTTAATGAAAGATGTAACTAAATCCATCATATCTTGATGACTTCCGGCTGGCCTCTCTCGTCAGTCAACACTCTACTCAAAGTAATTGTTAAGATAATTAATGCTCGTTCGTTCAAGAGGGTATATATACACGCGAGGTGAAAGAAGAGTTGCAAACCCATCAAGATGTTGTGTCCAGTGATTTTATTCCTAGTAGCTTGTGTCGGTTTCGGTAAGGTTAATTCCCTCTTAAACTGTTTACTGCCTCAACCTTACATGTTGTAGTAACATGTGGTTGTTCTCTTAAGGGATATTTAAAAGCATTGTACTTCTTTCCGATTTTAATGGATGTTTCTCATTTCAGCTGAAGCCGGGATACTAGCCGAGACTATTCGATTCAATAGAGATGCCAATTTTGTTTACTCGAAGTATGCCTATGGCCCTATTGATGTAGGTTAAACCACATACGATGTATAATTAATTGAAAAATGCATATATAAGCTGACAAAAACTTACTTTGCAGTACGTTGAGTTTGACGGTAAGAGGATCCCTGCGACCCCAGCAAATAAACCCTGTGCCCCAGACAAGGACTGCTGGAAAGAGATCAAAGGTAAGCGATAAACCTTCCGTTTCATCCTCCGCTCCAATTATTTTGTTATCTCTCAAACAAATTCTAGAACATATATGATTGACTAGTAATAGAAAAATGACATTCCACTAGATGTTATAGGTTATGTGCATTGTTGCCGAAGTAGTTGCTTCAGCCCCTTAAGATACTTCGCTAGCCTTAGTTTACACTCATTTTTTGCCTTGTAATTTTGTAGCCATCTTCTGATACCTAGCTTGTTTACCTAACTGCTTTATTTACGTTAGGCAGCAACTACTACATCGCGACGGGCCCTCTACAGGGACCACACGCGTCGGTAACTGTGGAGCCTGCCGTTGGTGTTGGTGGAAATCCATATATATTTGCGTACAAGAAGCAACACGTTCCGAGTAAGTCCAATCTGGCGTTCCACCTGAGCTGCTCTCTCACATATTTAATTAAATCTCCGCTAAGTTGCCTTCATAATCCTTATAAACCTTACTTAAAATAAAATGTTGTGCATTCTTTTTTTGCTTGCTGGGCAGAAGTTCGCATGACTGTTTATAGTTGGACCCTTTACATACATGCAAACCTGATTTGGTTATATTTTCCGATCTTATAAAACAGTTCGTATAAACTGACCCGTTGGCTTTTTTGTAGCTCCAGCGTTCCCGAATAAAATAAAGCCATATTATACGCAGGACGTCCGTACAAATGAACAAATTCTTCATCACGTAGTCTTTTTCAAGCAACCGGGGGTATGTACTGAATGGAAGATTATTTTGCTTTTTGTTTTTTGCAAATATGATAATATTTTAAGAATGATACTTGAGAGATCATAGGTATTCTTTAGGCAGTAGGAGTACCTGGTAAGGGTGCCTGGGGCTGCGCTAGGCGCAACCGCTAGTTTTACGGGCTCCTAATATTAGGAGGGGGCATGTCAGGAAACAATTTAGATAGCATTAATCCTGTAAAATAAAAGTGTTACAAGGGTTAGTTCGGTCGCGTACCGAAACCTCGGGCGAGGAGACTGAAGTACGCTGTTTATTCATCGCCAACCCTTCCCCGGATAAACGGCGAGCGGTTGTATGTCGGAGTAGCGTGCCCAGACCTCCAGCGAGGTCAGCGAGGTACATTTTCTAGAAATAGGACTAACCCAGCTAGACTTAAGGCAAATGAGTGCAGGAATTTGAAGTAATTTGGAAATCGACTCTACTAAGTATTAATGAGTAGGCGATTTTATTAAGTGGTTACTTTTAATGGTGATTTTTACTTAGTATAGTGACTTAAGCGGGTATTATATGTGGAGGCCTTCCAAGGACCCTCTGCAGTTCAGTGTCATCGTCTTATGCCTCCTGGATCGTCGGCTGGCGTTAAGAAAACTAGAGGATTGTGAATAATTCAATCTACTTAATTTGTGTAAGTAGGCGATTATGATACACAAGGACCTTCCAAAGGCCCATCGAGGAATTTTTGTCCTAAAGTCATCGTAACGGAGCCATTTACCCTTCCTCTGCACATATCAGGAAACAGTCAACAGTCATAAACACTCATTGGACCTTCCCATTTTTATACACTTTTCAAAAAATGTCTTAGTTTACTTTGGGAACTTTAATGTACACTTCCACATAATATGTGAGCACGCTTACATATAAAGCACTCGTGTTTTTATTTAAAATTTTAGAAAATGACTTGGAATGGGGCTATCAACGGGAAGAGAAGAGATAATAAAAAGATTACTTTGTTGGGCATGAACGGTTAGTCTTTTTTGTTCTCCTTACCTTCAAACTTAAAACATCTGTAACTGCTTACTGGTGCAAATAATATGATCATTTAGGTGATATTGACTGAGCGCATTAATTTTGGTGTATGCGCGTTTTAGGACTGCAAAAGGATGACCATGTGATTTTCACTGGACGCATGGGAAATAGACAACGAAAAGTTTTCATCAAGTTTAAGGGGGGAACTTCTTACGCTCTTAAACTTGTACCAACTGCTGGGACCTGGAAGGCCGTGGTGACATTCGTCGATAACACGCAGCCCCTAACGTCGGACAATTCAAGAGTGATGTACGAGACTCTTAGATTCAACAAGAACGGCAATTACGTTTACTCGAAGTATGCCTATGGCCCTGTTGATGTAGGTTAAATCACATACGATGCATAATTAATTAAAAAATGCATATATAAGCTGACAAAAACTTACTTTTCAGTACGTTGAGTTTGACGGTAAGAGGATCCCTGCGACCCCAGCAAATAAACCCTGTGCCCCAGACAATGACTGCTGGAAAGAGATCAAAAGTAAGCGATTAACCTTTCGTTTGCCCTTCTTTAATTGTTTAAATGACTGTTAAACAGATACTAGAAGACCTGGGATAAATAACTAACCATAGGAAGCATTCCATTAGAAGTTATGTTCCTCTTTTCCGACGTAATTGCTTCAGCCCCTTA